GTTTCTCCGGATGCCTCTCTTCTTGGTTTGTAGGTGGCCTCCTTCTTGCTGTGAGTTCACATGGCTTTTTCTCTGTGTATTCACAGCAGCATCCCTGGTGTCTCTTCCTCTCCTTATAAGGACATTAGTCACCTTGGGTCAGGCTTCAACCTGTGCATGTTGGGGGATACAGTTCAGTCCATACCATGGGGATACAATAGCAACATGGCAGTCAAAGGAAGGAGGTGACATGCTAGTATCCAAGGCACTACACAAGGAAGCTTCCAATTGAAATGTGCCCATGAGTTTTGCTGGTTGCAGACAAGGTGTGAGCTAAACAAAAGGACTTTCCACTGGCCAAGGGGCTGCAGTGGCTGATTAATGAGTGAGAGACGAGGAAGCAATAGGAAAGGGTGGCCTGATCATTCCACAGTCATCTCAAGATACTAGGGTGACCAGGCCCATCAACCACCTGATCAATTTATCCTAGAGTGGAGACTCCGGAGCTGGACAGGCCTCATTCACACCCTGGCTCTGGTCCTTACTAGCCCTGTGACCTTGGCCAAATACTTAATCTCTCTAAACCACAGTTTCTTAGCTGGCAGGTGAAGAGTAGAGTAGTATTGTGAGGACGTGCTCCAGAATGTTAAGGGATTATCTTTGGGTGATAGGGTTAAGGATCCTTTTTATTTTCTGCCTTTGGCTTATCTGTATTTCAGATTTTTTCTACCTAAAGTTAACATACATTACTTTTGTAATTTAAAAAAGTTATGTTTTCTCCAAAAGAAACCATTCATGCTTTCTGTAAACGTGTGGCAGAACTGCAGTTTCTATGAATATCTGTGATGAATTGCAAACAAGGAAATGGATTAGAGAAAGACTCTCGTTTTTCCCTCTAGTGAAGACAAGAAACATACGTTGAATACTGCAGGGCACAGAATGGGGTTCACAGTTGAGTAAACAATCTGTGCTTTCAAGGACTTTACAATTAGCTAGGTAGAATTCCCCCAAATAAATGAGTAACGATAATGCACTCAATGCCAGAACAGGACAAACATTAAAAAATAGGTTAAATAAACGAAATGCTTCTGGGGTTCTCCCTGGGGGAGGAGGGATGACATTAGGCTGGAGGAATCACAAAATGTTTCCTGGAAGAGGTAGCATCCCGGATGACCTGAAAGGTGTGTGTATGTGTGTGTGGGGGGGGGGTTCCCTCGCAAATTCAGTTGTCTCAGTGCTATTGGTCTGCTTCACAATGGAAGGAAAATTGGCCCAGAGATAAGAGATAAGGATGCAGAACACACATGGAGAGGAATCTCCCTGTCCACTGCTTTAGTTGCCAGTAACCTCAACAGCCATATGTCAGAAAATACAGGGGAGTCAAAAATTCTTGCCTTATCACAACCAGGAGATGCAGGGCTTACAGTAACCACATTCTGATCCAGTCCAGTTGTTTTCTGTGTGTGTGTTCAGAGTTTGTAAAACTGGAAAAATGAAGATATTCAAGCTGTTTAACTTCCATTCCAGTTGATTTTTATTGTTTTTCAATTTGATGAGAACTTAAAAATTACCTTCCTTGTTTTTCAAACCCTGAGTCACACTTTTATCTTTTTGTTTCCATCTGCAAAAGCCCCAGTTTTTGTGATTGTATCTTAACTGCCTATGTGAATACACAAAATTATATTACGTTAAATATACAATTATATGTGAAGACCATGGCTTAAGGGTATCAGACTGCTCTTTCAGTGAGAATTCCTAAAGGAATTTCATATTGACAAATTTGTAAGATTGTCAAATTGCAGTATACACGAGTTTACGTGTCTCTGATTGCACTTCAATGCTTTTTGAAAGGTGAGTTTGCACTTGGCAATGCCAAAGTCAGACTCTCAGTTTCACAGGAGATTGAAGATGAAATCGGAAATATTAAAGGCAAGCAAAATTAAAATCAACATTAGTCATATATGATGACAGAGACCACCAGTTAAATATTCCACCTTGGAACCAAATACCTCGAACCTGGCCTCTAACAGTGTAAAATATCTGTTCTTTGCAATAAATATAGAAAAGAAGGCCTTCGGAATCAATTGGGCATTTATTTGCCTCAGTGTTTCTGGGAGTAAGGAAGTGTATGTATACTGTCCGGAGGAACTTGGGTGAATTTAGAAAAAAAGAAAAACAAAACCAAACCACTGACTTCTCCATTTTTAAGAAAAGGAGGTAGTATGACATCATGCTCGGCTAAAATCTAGCCTGTTTATATCTCAGTTTGTTAGGTAGTAGAATGCCTTTTCCCGAGTTATAAAATAATTAGGATGATTAAGTACAATTTTCTTCTGAATCTTGATTACCTCATTCATTCATTCATCCAACATATGTCTATTAAACACCTATTCTGTGCTAGGTCCTGGGAATACAATAGTGAATGGAGGAAAAGATATAATTCCTGTCCTCAAGAAATTTGGACTTGATTTGGGAGAAGGGAAAGGAGGTGTAGTCAATGCTAAAAAGGAGAGGCATATGGTGCCAAGTGAACCCAGAATAAAATGTCTATTCAGAGACTTCCCTGGTGGCGCAGTGGTTAAGAGTCTGCCTGCCAATGCAGGAGACATGGGTTTGAGCCCTGGTCTAGGAAGATCCCACATGCCGCGGAGCAACTAAGCCCGTGCACCACAACTACTGAGCCTGCTCTCTAGGGCCCAGAGCTACTGAGCCCACGTGCCTAGAGCCCGTGCTCTGCAACAGGTGAAGCCACCGCAACGAGAAACACGTGCACTGCAACAAAGAGTAGCCCCCACTCGCCACAACTAGAGAGAGCCCGCGGGCAGCAATGAAGACTCAACACAGCCAAAAATAAATAAATAAGTAAATAAATAAATTTATTTTTTAAAAAAAGTCTATTCAGGGAGGTCAGGGAAAGCTTGCCCATCAAGGAAGTCATGATTCACCCAAGGAAGACCAGGAGAGGGCTGGGTAGAAGGAAGGACAGAGGAAGGGAAGTGCGCCCCGGGGAAGGGGGGGAGGCTCTGTGTGGGAGGAACACAGGGGTGCATTCTAGGAATGTGGAGATCCTCTCATTGGGAGAGGAGAAACCCAAGGTTACAAGAGAGGAGGGGCTCAAGGCACCTTCAAGGATCTCATTTCTATCCTCTGTCTCAAGAGCAGTGGGAAGCCATCAAATGATTTTAATAGAAGGGTTGGTATAATCAGGTTTGCCTTTCGAAAATTTGACTTTCGCTAGGTTTTGAGAAATTGAGTGAAAAGGGCCAGAATGGCCCTGATTGGGGGTGAGTGGCTGGGAGACTCCTGCTCAAGGGGTGGTGGTGGCATGGGCAGGGCCTGTGGAGGAAATGGAGAGAAACAGATTTTGAACTCAACTTTCCTCCTTTGCTCAAGTGGCTTTGGCAAGGAGGTTGGTGGGAAGGAAGATGCCCAACCCTGATGATTTCACCCCACTTCCTGCATCCTAAATTCAGGAGCTAGGAAGTGGTCTTTTCCTAAAAGTCAGCTTCTGTGCTGGGTGGAACAATGGTGACAAGACTTAACTTCCAGGATCAAGCAAAAGAACTCTCAGATTGGCAGGGAAGATTTCAGGGGTTGGGTTTCCAGGGAGAGCTAGTTTGCCTTTACTCCCAGTAAGCCTGGCCACCTGCCTCTGCAAACAAGCTTTGTCTCAGATAAAGGAGTCTATTGTGTAACCTGCTGGAAGATCTCCTGACCAGAGAGAGGGCTATACTGAATCTAACTCTTTGAGGGGGCTGGAAGTAGGATGAGCATATGAGTCAATATCCAGCCAAGACACGTGGGAAAGAGACAGGGGGTTCTGTTAATAATTCAACTTTGAAACAGATGTACACTAGGATAGTTTGGGGGCAAACCTGGTCACCTTAGCAAGAAGAGAAAGTTGAAAGTTCGCCCTTTTCTGCTCCCACCGATGTCCCCTTTTGCAGGGGAGGGGCTCAGAGTTCTGTCCCTTCACAGGCAGTGTTGGAAGGCAAACTCTGGCACTTAGCTGACTCCCAGGCCACTTTTACTTTCACACTTTCTGCCATACCTGATATATTCTGAAGATAACATTTCCCATTATCACTCTGTGATGGCTTATTGTTTATAATTGCTTACTGAGTCACCCCCCAGGAAGAAAGAGGCAGCTCAAAATGGGAGGCACCACCCAAGAGCTTATCAGAAATGCTGCCTCTTAGATGTACTGAAGCAGAATCTGCATTTTAACAATATTTTCAGGGGGTCTGTGAGCACATTAAAGTTTGAGAACAGACTTCTGGACTTCCACCTACAGTAAAATAAACATTTTACAATGTGATGGTTTAGGCATACACAACTGAAACAAAGTTTAATGAGGAAATACTTTTACTGCTTTACTTGAAAAAAAAAAAAAAAAGTGCTCACAACTCAGATTTCAGCATCCACTCTTGGGTCGCCACTTGGAGTTTGAAAACCAGCTCTGAAGCACTTAGGAACAGTCCGAAGAGGGTTGTGGGGAAGGGGAGGATGCTGGTGGGGGTGCTTTGGAGAGCGCAGACACTCTCTGCGTTCAGTGACTTTCTGGAACGTGTGCACTTAGTGCTCCGTAGTCAGTCTTCGGAGCGGGAACGCGCGAGGCCGCTGAAAGTTTGCCAAAGCCCCGGAGGGGCCGGTCCCGGGGACGTGATTGGCAGCTGCGAGGGAGGGCGAGGACCGGGAGCCGAGACGGGGAGCAGGCTCGGGGCTGCGAGAGGTCCTGCCCAGCTGTTGGCGAGGAGTTTCCTGTTTCCCCCGCGGCGCCCGGGCGAAGTCGTGAGTCACTCGCGCGCCCGGCCCGACGACACTCCGCGCGCGCACCCGCCGGCCGGGCCCGGCCTCCCGCGCAGCTCCCCTCGGCCGCCGGGCCCCCCGCGCCTCGCCCACCGCCACCCTCTGCGGCGCCACATCTGGCCGCACCGCTGCCCCGCGTGGGTCCGCAGGGCGCGGCGCGGAGGCGCGGCGTGCGCGCTCGGGCCGGTCTATGCGGAGCGGCGGGGGCTGCCATGGGCCGGGGGCTGCTCGGGGGCCTGTGGCCGCTGCACATCGTTCTGTGGACACGCATCGCCAGCACGATCCCGCCGCACGTTCCCAAGTCGGGTGAGTGGCCCCCGCCCGGGCTTGGCGCCGGGGTCCCCGGGGCCCCGCCGGGCTGCGCTTGACAGTCGGCCCGGGAGGCGGGCGGAAGCCGGGACGTGGCCCCGGTGCCCGCGCCCCAGCACCCTGCGCTAGGACGGGTGCGTTTTTCTTTCCAAAGACCAGGAAAGTGGTCTCGGCGGGGGCGCGGGGCGCGCCCGGCCCCCTTTGTGCGGGCAGGAAGGGCGCTGCGTCCCGGGCCGCCCCCACCCCCGGAAAGGGAAGTTTGAGAAGTTGGTGATCGGTGGAGGCAGGACGCGGCCCGGGCGGCCTCCGAGCGAGCGGCGGGCACACCTGGTCCCCGGCTCGGGATCGCCCAGTGCCCTGAAAGGGCAGGGCCCCCATCCTCAGCTCTTGCCCAGGGCCACATGCCCCCGGACTGGCTTTTTGGCCCGGAGTTGCTGTAGCAAAGTTTCAAGGAGAAGGGCGATTGCCAAAAGGAAACTTGTCTCGCTCCACTGCGGGCTGGCGTGGATGCGGCAGGGAGTGGGGCTTGTCAGGTGGAAGGCGGAGTATTTACTGAGTGCCTGCTAGGCGCTAGGTGCTGGAGATGTTGCCCGGACCAGGACAGCCCCGTCTTGCGGGCTTGAAGGTTCTGTGCAATTGTTTGGTGGAAATGAAACGGAAGGGTTAAAATCGTAAATCCCCCTGCCCACCTGATCTTGGTGTCTAGGAGGTTTTGAGGGGAGAAAAATGCAGGAATTGAACTCTTAAGTATTTGTTATGTAAAGTACCGAACCCCTGAGACCTTAAAAGTTAGAAATTTTGTTAGTTCTTTGCTACAGAACTGAGAACCTGCATCTGGGGTCTGGTAATGGGAGTCTTTGGAGTTTTGGGACCTTTCTGGGCCTCAGTCTCCTCATCTGTGAAAGGACATGGTTAGATTTGGATCATTTTACGTTCCCTTCATCTTTAACATCTTTTGTCTCTCTACTCCTTTTTGGTAACTTGGAGATGCCCTGTGTGGATTTGGGATGAAATGTGGAGGATCTGACAGTCCCCATCACTCTGAGGCACACATTCTGTTTACCAAGGGCCAGGGGCAGACTTAACCTTTGGTCTTGTCTAAAAGAAATATGGACCAGTTTCTACATGGGACATTTCACAGTTCTTGAAGTGGATTGAAAATTTTTAAAAGTTATATTTTTTTACTGAAGGTGGCATGGAGATGGGAGTTTTTAAGATAATGAGGAAGGACTGTTGTAAACAAAAAAATCCTAACACGGATTTGAGTTCTACAGTTTAATAAAGTTCCACTGTTTCATCCTTGGATGCTTTCTTACTTTGCAGTACCAGAATGTTCGACTCTCTGATTATACACCAAACTCTTAAAAACTGAGTTATATTTTGCTACTATTTTAAACGTCACCCTTAATTTTCAGTGTGCCTTAAAAATCGTTAAAACTTTTGTTTCAGATTACGAAAGAAGGAAATTAGTGGGCCCTGATTCTGTTAGTCTTTGCTTAGGAGGATAAGATTTATGATTTGCAAATTCCAGACTCAGTAGTTCATGAGTCAGTCTCAGTTCATCTATATACACACTTTTAAACAATTAGCTTAAAAGCCAACTTGGCTTTTTATTTGGGCTTTTAAACAGTGTTACAAAACCCACAGATTTCACATTTTTATGGAATTAAAGCCACAAAATGGTTGAACTAAGGAATCATTTTGGATTGGTATTCATGTGAAATTACATTCTGAAGATAGTTGAAGGTCAAAGGTAGCTATAATGGAGGTGGGAAACCTAATTCCACTTGCATTTAATTTTCTATGGAAGTAAATGGTTTCAGGATTTTCCTAACGTAATTGGTAATCTGTCAACTACATTTTTCAAAATATCTTAATGCATGGTAAGATAAGAGGAAATGAGATTGTTCACAGCCTTCTCTTAGGTTACTTAAAAAATCCATCTTACATTTAGTATATTGACAAGTGAGTCAAGGACTTCAGTATAAGAGCAAACTTCACTAAGATACATACTTAAAGGTATTTTAGTTTTTGTTTTTGACTTAGTAGATTCACTCTTCCTAAATGCCTGAAATTAAGTAATTGCTCTTTGGGGGAAAACTTTAAATGTTTGAAAACTCTTCAGATCTGAAAAATATAACTTTTACTTTTCGAATACCTAACAGGAGATCCTTGTTGAGGACTCAATGTTGGTAAAAGTGTTGTACGGATAAATTTCTTTCCCCAAATCACTGCTGATTTTGTCAGGGTTCTGGAAACTGCTAGGTCCAGAATTTGATCTTTGGTCTATTTGCTTTTGTTCCCAGAAAGCACATTTTTCACCTCTAGGCCATTTATTTTTAACTAGTTATGGTTTCTATAAGATACTCATCACATTTTGGATTCCTTGCCTTTATTTATTTATTTTTGGCCACGTTGGGTCTTCATTGCTGTGCGCGGGCTTTCTCTAGTTGCGGCAAGTGTGGGGGCTACTCTCTGTTGTGGTGTGCAGGCTTCTCATTGCGGTGGCTTCTCTTGTGGAGCATGGGTTCTAGGCGGGCGGGCTTCAGTAGTTGTGGCACGCGGGCTTAGTTGCTCCGCGGCATGTGGGATCTTCCTGGACCAGGGCTCGAACCCATGTCCCCTGCATTGGCAGGCGGATTCTTAACCACTGTGCCACCAGGGAAGTCCCTCCTTGCCTTTTTTTTCAAGGTAGCACCCCACCTTGAAATGATGAGTCCTCATTGCTGTCTGTGGAGCCAGCATACCTGCTACATGGTCTGCATTTTAGTTTTCAACACAACTTTAAAAATTTTCTTTTTTTAACCATATTTTTCCAATTAAGAATGACACTTCATTGGTGCCATTGCAGAAAGTGACCATTACCCATTCTTCCTTCTCAACAGTATCTATAGAATGTCACTTTTTGCCAGGCAGGAGGCTCAGACCTGGAAACCGTATTCTGAGTGAAGAAGACAGCTCTGGTCTTTGCCTGCATTGAGTCTAACATGGGGGGGGGGGGGTGTTGAGGCCCAGAGAAGGATGTATATTTTTACCCTGTGTACTTGGAAGCATTATTGACTCTAGACCCCTTTGTCAAAAGCCCACTCTGTTGGGTGTTAAGTGTTTCCTTCCATTCCCTCCACTGTCCCTCTGAACGTGTTTTTCATTGATCTGTTCTTTTCTGTGCCTGCCTTATTCCGGGCCCCCAGTTGGGCCACCTCACTTTTGTTCAAGCTGCTGTCTGTCTGGAACTCCTGCTACCCTGGATAATTTAGATTCATCTTTTAAGACTTGACTAAAGTGTCATTCTTAAGCAAACCTGCTTTCAATGCCCTGGGTGGAGCTATAGGTTACCTCCTCCCGGGGACAGGCCTCTCTTTTCAATGCTAACAATAGTAAGGCAGAATTAGCTCTTGATGAGACTCCTTTACCCATTCTGTCAAAGGCACTGGGTTTGTCCCCCTCATTTCTCCGTCTCCAGGGTCTGTGGCAGTGCCTGGCATATCACTTAGCACCCAGGAAATGCTGAGCTGAACCTCCATTCATCCTCCAGAGGCACTGGAGGTCAGTCGAGCATTTCCACAACCAGGCAGTCACTATTTATTGGGTGTTTGGTCTGAATGGTAAAATCTTTATTGAGAATAGTTTGGCTTTGATCTCGATAGGCAATTTGGCTGTTTTATACTGTGTTATTGGTTCTTTTATTCTGATGACCTATGGAAAAAGACGACAAACATGTCAGCTTCTGACAGACATGATGGAAAGCTGCTAGAAGTTTTCATCCAACCTCTTTAGTTGTACACTTGAATTCATGTAGGGCATTCAAAGCCATTGCAAAACTTTTTCAAAGTCTTACCAAAGACATTTGCCAGTGAATACTGAATCTTCTCTCTTTTTTTTTTTTTTTCTAGAAGGTTGTTGAAATGAGACTTTCATTAAAAATGAAGTGCCGAAATCTAAACTTTGCTTTGAAGTTTCTTTTTTCATCAGGGTCTTCTGTTTTGGTTTATAAGCAGTGAAGTGAGTTGGTCTAAGGGAAGTGCAGCCCTGGGGCAGCTGCTATCTGCAGAAGAGCAGTGTGGCTATTATTTAGGTCTGATGCAAACCACCGAAACAGTTTAAAATAGGATGTGGAGGAAAAGTCCCTCCTGGCTACAGCATGGCATTATTTAGCCAATTTCCACAGAAAAGCATAACTGTCACCTTGTTGGCTTCTGCCCTCGGGGGCCTTCCATACAGCTTCAGCAGATTAACTCATGATTTTCAGTAGAAGTGATTTAGCAGATAGGTATTAGCAGCAAGAATGCTCACCATTTGTTTCACACTCCTTCTTTCCCTTGTAATATGTTGCTTCCTACCTACTTGTGGCTTCTGACCAAGGTGGGATAACGATGATTCTCCTTCTTGCCTGGCGTGTCATGAGGGTTGGGAAGCCAAGCAGGTAAGTTGGCTCATCTCAAGGACAAGTGGGGAGAAGGGAGAAGTAACATTTGAGAACCTGTTCTGAGGCAGCCACCTGACATTATTATCTAATTTAATCCTCAGAAGAAACCGACAAGATAATTTTCATTACCTTTATTTTATAAGTGGAGAAGACAGAGTCTGCACAGAGCAACTCGATGTTTGCCTCTGTGTGTGTGTGTGTGTGTGTGTGTGTGTGTGTGTGTGTGTGTGTGTGTGTGTGTTTTCTAACCTTGTCTTCCTTGTGTTCTGCTCGGCCCTTTTCCCTGGTGTATCTGTGTGTATGTGTGTTGGGATGGAAGTTAGGGAGTGAGTAAAGGGATATCATATTCAAGAAAGGGGAACTTACCATCTAATATCCATTCAATGCCCCTGAGATCATGATTTGCTTTGCTTGTACGATCTACCTCCTTCCTGATTGTCATTGTCCTACAGAAAATCAGGATAGGGTAGAGTCTCTTTGCCCAAGAAAACTCTGCTGTTCCTAGTCTGATAATTGCGTCTTGGTGGTGGGACCCACTGCGGGTGACCTGTGCCTTGACCATTGACAGCAG